CATGGTAACTGTAATTTGGAATAAAATTTGAATAAATACCATGGTGTGGGGCATGAATTTGAAAAAGAGGGAATTTAGTGCTTTAGTAGAGGTTGTTGTGTTTAAAAGGTGTTTTTGATGGCGATAAGGAGACTGGCTAGGCTTTTATGGTACAGTTTGGATTTGTGGGCGAGTGTGTGTAATTTTTTTGCTGTGGGTTTTTCCATAAGTATGGCTGCGGTGATGAATTCTATTATCTTGTTTAAGTTTTGGTGGAGTTTTTGTGGTGTGAGAGTAAGAGTGGGTTTGGGGGTGGGTGCTGGGTGTGTTTGGACAGTGGGGGTTGGGTTTTGATTGTGGGTTGGGATGTGGGTGGTTTGTGTTGGGGATGTTGGGGGAGGGGGGGGTTAACGGTTTTGGATGGAGGGGGTGCGGTTTTTGGGGCGTGTTTGTTTGGGGCAGTTGGGGGTGGGTGTGGGGAGGAGAGGTTGTTTAGATGGTTGTGGTTTATGGCGGGTTTGGGGAGGTGGAGGTGGGGGGTTGGATTTGCGAGCAGGGGGAGGGCGTGTGGGTTTGGGTGGGGGAGGGGTGAATAGAATGACGAGTTAGGGGAGGAGGAGGTGTAGGGGGAGGATGATGAGGCTGAGAGGATGGAGTTGTATGCGAGTATTGGGCGTGCTGGTTTGGGCAGGTCGGTGTTTTTAATGTGTTTGTTGTGCCTGAGTATGTGCTTTTGTTTGATGGGACATGTGTTTTGTGTAGCGGTGTGGCCGGTGGGTCGCAGTGAATGCAGTATTTTTGTTGGCGACATTCATCTAGTGTGTGTGTGTCCGACCCGCATTTTGGACATAGCATGGGGAGCTTGCATGAATCTGAGATGTGTGAGTATGAAAAACAGTATTTGCATTGTTGTGGGTTTTTGCGTGTTGGGTGTACTTTGTAAGTAAGGGCGCCAGATATAATGTGGATGGGAAGAGTAGTGGTTTCGAATGTAAGGAAGGTTGTTTGTGTGTTAGGGTTATAGGTGGTGGGTTGTCTGTTGTTGATTGCTCTGAAGTTGGTGATTTTGGGTTGGTTTGGGATGGTGTTTGCGATGTCAATGTAGTGTTTGATGTCTGTTTCAGTTTCCCTTGTGTCTATGTAGATGACTCCCTGTATAGATGTTTGCCAGCGTGGGTATTGCCAGTTTATTTCCTTTCCGTCTATCAGTGTGTGTTTAAGTGTGTTGTTTAGTGCTTGTTTGTCAGTGAATGTGATTTTAAAACCTCGGCCACAATTGTTTATGTATCTGTATTGTATGTTGTGCTGTTTGAGGCAAAGGGCGAATTTGTTGATAGAGTATGTGTGATTGAGCGGAGTGTGTGTGTTGGTGGCAAAGGCTAGTAGTATGAGCTTATTGTCTTGGGCTTGGGGTGGCTGGCTTTGTCGCATTGTTTTTTGTTTGATTGTGAGCTTTCAGAGGGAGAGATGTGCGGGCGTTTAGTGGATTTAGTTGTGTTGCTTGGGGGTTGTTACGCTGGGGGTGGTGGTTTTGATGTTTGTAGGGATGGGAGAAGGGAATCAATGTCGATTCCGAAGTTTATGGGGATGGGGTCCATTTGAATTGGGGAGGTAAGGGGTGGGAACTCTTTTGTTGGAGTGGAGAATAGTGAGGCCGGGAGGGTGGGGGAGGCCATAGTGTAGTGGGGGCGGGGGTTGGGATTGAGGGGGCCGGGGGTGTGGGCTGGGGTAGAGTACACAATATACAAATGAAAATACAAACAAATTTACAGGAGAAAGCATATATACAAATGAGATGAAAGAAAAAGGTTTGATAAGGTAGCGAGCTACAGTTCGGATGATTTATGAGTCAATGATAGTCAAGGTTTCACAGGTAACACTTGCGTGTTTCCTGGCCCAAAAAGCCAAGTTAAAAAAGGAGAAAGAAGTAATAAATAGGAATAGTGATTGTTAATAAGTAAGAGATAGAGTTGGAATAAACGATAGGTGATATAAAAAGGGGCCTAGGGGTGGGAATGCGGATGGTGGGTGGGGGTGAGTACTAGGGATGTATAGCATAGGGGGCAGATATTGGATGCAGTTAAGCAGTTACATAAGGGGCTATATAAGGACTGAATAAATAAAAGGTGTTAAGTTGGAGGGGGAGAGGGTGGGTGGTGTGGTGGGCTGAGGGGAGCAAGGGAGGCGCAGAGAGGCAGAGGCCGGGTTGAGGAACGAGCGGTGGATGTAAGCTGGGTGGCGAGTGACCTTGACCTTGGCAGTGTGGGCTTGTGACGGGTTGTGTACATTTAGCGAGAGGGGAGAGCGAACGTGGCGTGTGCAGAGAATGGATAAATGAAATTGAGAGCCGTGTCTAAAGTTGTAGGTGGGCAGAATGGATAACTGAGGTTAGAACGGCTGGCCTGAATGATTGCAGTGAGTGGGAGGTGAGAGAGGTGGCTGTAGTTTATTTAATGAGTTTTAGATTCTTTTTAGAAGATTTGAGTTTTGTAGGAATATTGTTAGGGCGTTGAAGATACTTGTTGGGTTTTGGGGGTTGAGGAGTAGTGGGATGTTATTGTAATATTTGGAGGTAATGCTGTTTTGTAGTTGCTTAATGTTTGTCTTTTGTAGCTGGCAGTGTATGAGTATGTGATTTATGTCTTCTTGGGTATTACAGTGTGTGCATAGTCCATCTGCATGTCTATTTTGTTTGTAGAGTGTGTGGTTGAGGTTTGTGATACCTGTGATGGAGTCTGTTTATGGGTCGTGTCAATATTTTTAATGTTTGAGAATGTAGGGATTTTTTCTTAAGGGTGATTTTATAATGGAAGTAACCCATGTTGATTTGTTGTTGTTTATGTTGTGTTGAAAGTCAGTTATGAAGGATATTTGATTTTAATGAGTTGTTTAGTTTCTGTTTTGGATGTATGAAAGTTTATATTTGGTGATTTTTGTGTTGTTAATTTGGCTGCTGTGTCTGCTGTGTGGACTAGTGAAACTACTACTGCTTTGTTTAAAAGCCATCGTTATACATTACAAGGTAGACAGTGCCAAATAAAGTTGGAGTTTTAAACGCTGATAAAGCTTTAAATTAAACTATTCTCTTTCTCCATTTGAGCATTAGAGCATAAAAAGTTCAATCTTCATGGTCATATCAGGACACTTACATGTTCCCCGCAGGCAGATCATTAGTAATTCTTCAAAAACTGCATTTTTTAGAATAGTATCAAAATAACAGTATTTTCCCCCACTTATGAAAAGAAAAGAAAATGTCAAAAATAAATTTTTAGAGGTTTTTGACTATCCTATGTATTAAACAGGTATAAAAGTAAAACAATAGAAGCAACATACCTCTACATTCAAACAATAATATCACTAAACTAATGGTCCACTAATGATGGTTATCAAAATCACCTTGGGTGAAGAAATAAAAAATGAGTACCAAATATATGTGTTGGCACAACAATAGGATAATCTGTACTCTGTCATAGGCAAAGTACTTCCCTGAATTATCAGGTATTGTCTAAGGTAGGCAAAGCAATGAAGCGTGCTATTCCTTAGACAATGAGGAGATTATGGAGGACATCTCCTAATCTTAGGTGAGCTGAAATTCAGAAATTCCTGAAGTGTGCGAGAGTTCAAATCAGACAATTGTAATCTTGTCTTGAGTGAACAAAAGTTTGCTTTTTGATTGCAGGGTAATATAATGGATTAAACTTAAAACAACTCCCTATGGGGTATATATAAGATCATTATATATTTGATCATCATGTCACAATGGCTAATGTTCAAGATAATGTTTATTGAGAACAGACGATGTGGTCCAGTTTAGTTCAATTTGGCACAATAAATGAAATTCAATTCTTTTGAACAGGAAGAACACTTCTGTCTGCCTTAACAGAATGAACAATAGGTACTATGAATGGTCTTTGAAAAAGTTTGGCTTTCATAATTTGTATAATAATCTTTCTCTCTTAGAATATCAGCAGTTTGCATAAATTTGAAATAGACAACATCATTGTAATGAAAACTAAAGGAAGATTCAGTCTGTTTCCTTTCACAAAGGTCTCCTTTGGGATGTTCCTGGTATAACTGACTTTTTTACCTTTTGTTTTAACATATTATTAGAGAAATATCATGCCACTGGATAAAAGAATAATGGTATACATTGCTGCATTACTACCAAAAAAGATTTTTGAAAGTTCAAAGCTTGATTGGGAAACATTCTAATATCTCAGTGTTTATCTTTGGATCTTGTCAGTTCATCACTGAACTTTATCCAATTGGATGTCCTTGATCCAGTAAATATGTCAGATACAACCCAGTGCTGTAGCAGACCAAGAACCTGGCAATATGCAGGGGTACTCCAAATCAAAAAACATAGTAACTCCCAAGGAGACTGATCACTGCATCAAACAATGACAGTGTTTGAAGAAAAATCTTTACATTGTCTCCTACAATGAATTGGCATAGGATGTGTTTTGAACTGTCAAGGAAGACCACAAGATGAGGAGCCTCTTCCACAATGTACTGGCATAGGATGTGTTTTGAGCTGTCAAGTAAGACCACAAGATGAGGGGCCTCTTCCACAATGTACTGGCATAGGATGTGTTTTGAGCTGTCCAGAAGACCACAAGATGAGGAGCCTCTTCCACAATGTACTGGCATAGGATGTGTTTTGAGCTGTCAAGGAAGACCACAAGATGAGGAGCCTCCCCCACAATGTACTGGCATAGGATGTGTTTGAGCTGTCAAGAAAGACCACAAGATGAGGAGCCTCTTCCACAATGTACTGGCATAGGATGTGTTTTTGAGCTGTCAAGGAAGACCACAAGATGAGGGGCCTCTTCCACAATGTACTGGCATAGGATGTGTTTTGAGCTGTCAAGGAAGACCACAAGATGAGGAGCCTCTTCCACAATGTACTGGCATAGGATGTGTTTGAGCTGTCCAGGAAGACCACAAGATGAGGAGCCTCTTCCACAATGTACTGGCATAGGATGTGTTTTGAGCTGTCAAGAAAGACCACAAGATGAGGAGCCTCTTCCACAATGTACTGGCATAGGATGTGTTTTGAGCTGTCAAGGAAGACCACAAGATGAGGAGCCTCTTCCACTTGGCTGTGCAGATGTTTTTGAGGAACTGTTTCCACACTCTTCACATCCTGTTAACATAAAATAACATTTTGTTACGGCTGAATATTGTCAGTTTACAAGTTGATCTCACAACAGCATTAAGTAAATGAAACATCTATTCTTAACTATACTACTATTTGCAAATAAAAAATATCTTAAATATATCTTTATCATAAAGGTATCACCTGTCCTTGCAGTCTAATGCATTTCCATTTGTCATAAAGCTGATCATAAGCACTTACTTCAGGAATGAAGTAAACTAGTTTTCAAGTGTAACAATACTTACAGAAGAACATCATTTTCAAAAAATCTTACATTGACTATGGTAATGCAGGTCTTTGACTTCAAACCCTTGCCCTTTTGCTTGGAAACAAGCTTCTACAAATCCCGGAACAGTTGGATGCTTTTTTCAGCATCAGTACCCTGAAAATTTGAAACAATAATTATTGAAATAAAAATTTCCAATTACATGTTAACCCAGTTTGAAACAATAACCATATCAAATCAATATTAATTAACATATTAAGGTATCACAGAGGGTTAGTGAAATTAGTTAAGTATTTTGATAGTTCACCATATCTAAATAGAAACATATTAAATTATGATATTAAATAATATAAGCCATATGACAAAGCAACTTGTAACAAGAAATTGAAAAAATATACATCTTGAGTTTTCTGGAGCCATTAATACATTAATACATGCCTCAGGTGCAGTTTTTTAGATACGACAGTGTGCATTATCCATTTCATATTTCTGGCAATTTCTTCCCTCGCTTCCTCTGGATCATCACTGCGTTGGCAAAAGAATTCATACACCAACTGAAACAGTATGTTAGGGAATGTATTTAATGATTAAGAGGCACAAAAGACATGCAACAGGGCTTGCCTGCTTGTTCAATATAAGATTAACACTAGAACAACAATGACCATAAATCAACTAATGTGCTAACACTGTACAAGTACTTTTGTACACCTGTAATGTCCGTATATAATAAATAATGTTTAAGGACACATGAAGATGTCCGGCTGTAGTTTATTTAATGAGTTTTAGATTCTTTTTAGAAGATTTGAGTTTTGTAGGAATATTGTTAGGGCGTTGAAGATACTTGTTGGGTTTTGGGGGTTGAGGAGTAGTGGGATGTTATTGTAATATTTGGAGGTAATGCTGTTTTGTAGTTGCTTAATGTTTGTCTTTTGTAGCTGGCAGTGTATGAGTATGTGATTTATGTCTTCTTGGGTATTACAGTGTGTGCATAGTCCATCTGCATGTCTATTTTGTTTGTAGAGTGTGTGGTTGAGGTTTGTGATACCTGTGATGAGTCTGTTTATGGCCGTGTCAATATTTTTAATGTTTGAGAATGTAGGGATTTTTCTTAAGGGTGATTTTATAATGGAAGTAACCCATGTTGATTTGTTGTTGTTTATGTTGTGTTGAAAGTCAGTATGAAGGATATTTGATTTAATGAGTTGTTTAGTTTCTGTTTTGGATGTATGAAAGTTTATATTTGGTGATTTTTGTGTTGTTGCTAATTTGGCTGCTGTGTCTGCTGTGTGGACTAGTGAAACTACTGCTTTGTTTAAAGCCATCGTTATACATTACAAGGTAGACAGTGCCAAATAAAGTTGAGTTTTAAACGCTGATAAAGCTTTAAATTAAACTATTCTCTTTCTCCATTTGAGCATTAGAGCATAAAAAAGTTCAATCTTCATGGTCATATCAGGACACATGTTCCCAGGCAGATCATTAGTAATTCTTCAAAACTGCATTTTTAGAATAGTATCAAAATAACAGTATTTTCCCCCACTTATGAAAAGAAAAGAAAATGTCAAAAATAAATTTTAGAGGTTTTTGACTATCCTATGTATTAAACAGGTATAAAAGTAAACAATAGAAGCAACATACCTCTACATTCAAACAATAATATCACTAAACTAATGGTCCACTAATGATGGTTATCAAAATCACCTTGGTGAAGAAATAAAAAAAATGAGTACCAAATATATGTGTTGGCACAACAATAGGATAATCTGTACTCTGTCATGAGCAAAGTACTTCCCTGAATTATCAGGTATTGTCTAAGGTAGGCAAAGCAATGAAGCGTGCTATTCCTTAGACAATGAGGGATTATGGAGGACATCTCTAATCTTAGGTGAGCGAAATTCAGAAATTCCTGAAGTGTGCGAGAGTTCAAATCAGACAATTGTAATCTTGTCTTGAGTGAACGAAAGTTTGCTTTTGATTGCAGGGGTAATATAATGGATTAAACTTAAAACAACTCCCTATGGGGTATATATAAGATCATTATATATTTGATCATCATGTCACAATGGCTAATGTTCAAGATAATGTTTATTGAGAACAGACGATGTGGTCGAAGTTTAGTTCAATTTGGCACAATAAATGAAATTCAATTCTTTTGAACAGGAAGAACACTTCTGTCTGCCTTAACAGAATGAACAATAGGTACTATGAATGGTCTTTGAAAAGTTTGGCTTTCATAATTTGTATAATAATCTTTCTCTTTAGAATATCAGCAGTTTGCATAAATTTGAAATAGACAACATCATTGTAATGAAAACTAAAGGAAGATTCAGTCTGTTTCCTTTCACAAAGGTCTCCTTGGGATGTTCCCTGGTATAACTGACTTTTTTACCTTTTGTTTTAACATATTATTAGAGAAATATCATGCCACTGGATAAAAGAATGGTATACATTGCTGCATTACTACCAAAAAGATTTTTTGAAAGTTCAAAGCTTGATTGGGAAACATTCTAATATCTCAGTGTTTATCTTTGGATCTTGTCAGTTCATCACTGAACTTTATCAATTGGATGTCCTTGATCCAGTAAATATGTCAGATACAACCCAGTGCTGTAGCAGACCAAGAACCTGGCAATATGCAGGGGGGTACTCCAAATCAAAAACATAGTAACTCCCAAGGAGACTGATCACTGCATCAAACAATGACAGTGTTTGAAGAAAAATCTTTACATTGTCTCCTACAATGAATTGGCATAGGATGTGTTTTGAACTGTCAAGGAAGACCACAAGATGAGGAGCCTCTTCCACAATGTACTGGCATAGGATGTGTTTTGAGCTGTCAAGTAAGACCACAAGATGAGGGGCCTCTTCCACAATGTACTGGCATAGGATGTGTTTTGAGCTGTCCAGGAAGACCACAAGATGAGGAGCCTCTTCCACAATGTACTGGCATAGGATGTGTTTTGAGCTGTCAAGGAAGACCACAAGATGAGGAGCCTCTCCCACAATGTACTGGCATAGGATGTGTTTTGAGCTGTCAAGAAAGACCACAAGATGAGGAGCCTCTTCCACAATGTACTGGCATAGGATGTGTTTTGAGCTGTCAAGGAAGACCACAAGATGAGGGGCCTCTTCCACAATGTACTGGCATAGGATGTGTTTTGAGCTGTCAAGGAAGACCACAAGATGAGGAGCCTCTTCCACAATGTACTGGCATAGGATGTGTTTTGAGCTGTCCAGGAAGACCACAAGATGAGGAGCCTCTTCCACAATGTACTGGCATAGGATGTGTTTTGAGCTGTCAAGAAAGACCACAAGATGAGGAGCCTCTTCCACAATGTACTGGCATAGGATGTGTTTTGAGCTGTCAAGGAAGACCACAAGATGAGGAGCCTCTTCCACTTGGCTGTGCAGATGTTTTTGAGGAACTGTTTCCACACTCTTCACATCCTGTTAACATAAAATAACATTTTTGTTACGGCTGAATATTGTCAGTTTACAAGTTGATCTCACAACAGCATTAAGTAAATGAAACATCTATTCTTAACTATACTACTATTTGCAAATAAAAAATATCTTAAATATATCTTTATCATAAAGGTATCACCTGTCCTTGCAGTCTAATGCATTTCCATTTGTCATAAAGCTGATCATAAGCACTTACTTCAGGAATGAAGTAAACTAGTTTTCAAGTGTAACAATACTTACAGAAGAACATCATTTTCAAAAAATCTTACATTGACTATGGTAATGCAGGTCTTTGACTTCAAACCCTTGCCCTTTGCTTGGAAACAAGCTTCTACAAATCGGAACAGTTGGATGCTTTTTTCAGCATCAGTACCCTGAAAATTTGAAACAATAATTATTGAAATAAAATTTCCAATTACATGTTAACCCAGTTTGAAACAATAACCCTATCAAATCAATATTAATTAACATATTAAGGTATCACAGAGGGTTAGTGAAATTAGTTAAGTATTTTGATAGTTCACCATATCTAAATAGAAACATATTAAATTATGATATTAAATAATATAAGCCATATGACAAGCAACTTGTAACAAGAAATTGAAAAAAATATACATCTTGAGTTTTCTGGAGCCATTAATACATGCCTCAGGTGCAGTTTTTTTAGATACGACAGTGTGCATTATCCATTTCATATTTCTGGCAATTTCTTCCCTCGCTTCCTCTGGATCATCACTGCGTTGGCAAAAGAATTCATACACCAACTGAAACAGTATGTTAGAATGTATTTAATGATTAAGAGGCACAAAGACATGCAACAGGGCTTGCCTGCTTGTTCAATATAAGATTAACACTAGAACAACAATGACCATAAATCAACTAATGTGCTAACACTGTACAAGTACTTTTGTACACCTGTAATGTCCGTATATAATAAATAATGTTTAAGGACACATGAAGATGTCCATGGTAGTACTTTAGGGAAACTAAATTTGAAACAAAAATTTGCTGTTGAATAAGCTCAAATGATTTATACTTACAAAGCATCCTTCCTCAAAACAAGGGAACTTTTCTAAAATGGGCTCAATCTTCTCAGGCTTCAAGGTGGTTTGCCACTCTTTGCGAAATTGTCTTGTCTGTTTTAGTAGAGTTTGCAGATGAGTAATTGATTGCTTTCCTTCCCATTCCTTCTTTATTTCATCAAGATGGGATGCAAAATCTTTCTCTGATATCACACCTGATGATTTATTAGCCATCTTGAACAACTTCTGAGGTTGTGCATCTTCAGAATCCTTAGGCGCAGGTCTTGTTGATTTTGCATTGTTTTGAAATCTATTGGTGCGGCATCGCTGACTCAATTTGGACACAAAAAAGCTCTGAAAAGACACAATAGGAGAGTTTGTTTTTAACCTCCGATTAGAAGGAAGGAGTGCGTTTCTTGGTTATAGCAAACAGATAATACTGACTTTACCTTTATACGAATTCACAAATTGGGGGGTATTGAGTCTCATGCATTTATTTAGGAAAAGAACATTCAGACAAGAGTGCTTTTAAATCACAAGCTCTTACTGAAATCTAACAGAAGAGTACCTAATTCTAAATCATATGCAGTTCAACCAAAAACATTATCTGAAAATAATTACTCCGTGATAAAACAAAAAGAATCACAGAATATCAAGTTCTGTAATACAAGAGCCATATATGTTGAAATTGGTAAAAGTCGAGTACTTGGGATATGTGAACTATCAGTATGTATGCACTTTGACACTACATCACTGAATAAGAGATATAAACTGAAGCCAACTCAAACTTACCCAAAGTGTCTTGCCATGTGCATAGGCCAATGAAGGATATTTTGCCACCATCCTCCTGGCGATTGATTGATAGTATGGTGAAGATGACATTGATGGATAAACAGTTGTGTAAACTGTTTCACACTGCTTCAATACAGAGTTAAAAATCTGGCTGCTCCTTTCACCTGCTTGAAGGGCTGCAATCGTAGTAGGTGCAAGATCAGGATGGGGGATCCTGTCTGGTGTTGGCAGCGCAGACAGTAGACTGCGGCTTGAGAGATCTGCTGAAACAAAATGAAAGTATCATATCACTTAATGTCGAAGTAAGTGGGAACCTGAAGACCACATTTAGGTTAGGTCAGAACCATAATGGAAATGTAATGATGTTCGAATGTATTTATTTCTCTCATCTTATTGTTTGTAGATCATAATTCCAGAAAGTCAGACAGGTCAATTTCTCGGTTCCTGTCAAGAATATTGAATTACATTTTCCCAGTGAACAATATACCCGATTTAAATCTACAATGATACAATAAATATTTGAGTTGAAATACTCACCTGAAGTTCCAAGTAGGATAAGTTCATAACATTGTTTTGTTTACCTGACTGGGAGTTGCACTGATTCAGATGTTTTAGATAAACGTACACCACCCATTTGAATATGTGGTTGCCCAGTCTAGGTTATGACTCACTGTTTACACATGATCTTAGACTTCCAGCATCAATACAACATGTAAACATTAATATGTGAAAATTATCTTTGCAATGTCATCAATGTGTGTACTATATTTTCGCATAGCGTTTACCTGGGGAGAATAATGACAACGTCAGCTTGCCCAGTCTTCTAAAAATGGCGAGGATCGTGCAGTGGAATGTGTAAACCCCGTAGATGACGTTTGACGGCACTTTTGGAAGATGACGGCACTGTAGCCGTAGAGTTACCTCCCTTGGTTCATTTGTCACAATGTCATGTTACATACAAACTTAATGTCCTGTATCAATAAGTGATACCTATTTTTCATGGAAATAATGAAAATGATACTAATATATCCCGTGTGTCGGTTACCACTTTTCCCTACTTTTTAGCGAACTGGCACGCCACATTCTAAAAAATAACTTATTGCCTCATCAAAGCGTTTACGTCTTTCGGCTACGATCGCGCGAGTTGACAGACGATATTCGCATTGAAATCACTGCGTTTTGAACATGCTGACATCCATTTGAAGATATCTAAAGAATGTCTAGGTATCATGTAATATGAGGCCAGTAGAGATGCAGCGATTGCCTCGATCACCATTCATTGGCGCCAAAATGTATCGAGGCACGCTTGCGTTGACAGATTAACACTATAATGTTAATAAAGAAGAGAGATATATTAACACTGGTGTAAATAAATGAACACTGATGTTAATAATATTACGTAAGTCGTACTTGTATGCAAGTAATATTACGTGTATGTGTAAAACAAGGAGTACGACATCTTATTCCATTTAGCCCAATGTTATTTCAATTAGATTAGTTAGAGGGCAATAACTTTAGACCAACTTTCCAGCTGTACAGCACATTTAACCAAAATGTCAGAGGTAAGATTAGTTATTTTAAATATTTCGAACACATTACCATATCTAATATGATACACATTTTCATTAACAACCAGATCTAAATACAGCCCATCGCTGTGCATTGACATTGTTTGTTATCCTATCATACACTGAGGCATACCAGACGACTCCTGAATAAACTAGGGCTCCGACACTGATATTTGCCTGATGTCTGGTCTGAATACCATTTAAACGCAGCCCATTTTGAGCCTTTCAACGGACTATTCCAGTATTCTAATCATACACTGAGGCATACCAGACGACACCTGAATAAACTGGGGCTCCGACACTGATATTTGCCTGATGTCTGGTCTGAATACCATTTAAACACAGCCTATTTTGAGCCAGTCGGGATTATTCCCGTTATCTTATCATACACTGAGGCATACCAGACGACTCCTGAATAAACTGCATGGGGGCTCCGACACTGATATTTGCCAAATGTCTGGTCTGAATACCATTTAAACACAGCCCATTTTGAGCCAGTCGGGACTATTCCCGTATTCTTATCATACACTGAGGCATACCAGACGACTCCTGAATAAACTGGGGGCTCCGACACGGATATTTGCCTGTTGTCTGGTCTGAATACCATCTAAATACAGCCCATTTTGAGCCAGTCGGGAGTATTCCGTATTCTTATCATACACTGAGGCATACCAGACGACGACTCCTGAATAAACTGGGGGCTCCGACACTGATATTTGCCAAATGTCTGGTCTGAATACCATTTAAACACAGCCTATTTTCAGCTAGTCGGGACTATTCCCGTATTCTTATCATACACTGAGGCATACCAGACGACTCCTGAATAAACTGGGGCCCCGACACTGATATTTGCCTGTTGTCTGGTCTGAATACCATCTAAACACAGCCCATTTTGAGCCAGTCGGGATTATTCCCGTATTCTTATCATACACTGAGGCATACCAGACGACTCCTGAATAAACTAGGGTTCCGACACGGATATTTGCCTAATTTCAGGTCTAAATACCATTTAAACACAGCTCATTTTGAGCCAGTCGGGAGTATTCTCGTTCTCCTATCATACACTGAGGCATACCAGACGACTCCTGAATAAACTAGAGCTCCGACACTGATATTTGCCTGACGTCTGTCTGGTCTGAATACCATTTAAACGCAGCCCATTTTGAGCCTTTCAGGACTATTCCAGTATTCTTATCATACACTGAGGCATACCAGACGACACCTGAATAAACTGGGGCTCCGACACGGATATTTGCCTGATGTCTGGTCTGGTCTGAATTCCATCTAAATACAGCCCATTTTGAGCCAGTCGGGAGTATTCCGGTTCTCCTATCATACACTGAGGCATACCAGACGACTCCTGAATAAACTAGGGCTCCGACACTGATATTTGCCTGATGTCTGGTCTGAATACCATTTAAACGCAGCCCATTTTGAGCCTTTCAGGACTATTCCAGTATTCTTATCATACACTGAGGCATACCAGACGACACCTGAATAAACTGGGGCTCCGACACGGATATTTGCCTGATGTCTGGTCTGAATACCATCTAAATACAGCCCATTTTGAGCCAGTCGGGAGTATTCCGGTTCTCCTATCATACACTGAGGCATACCAGACGACTCCTGAATAAACTAGGGCTCCGACACTGATATTTGCCTGATGTCTGGTCTGAATACCATTTAAACGCAGCCCATTTTGAGTCATTCAGGACTATTCCAGTATTCTTATCATACACTGAGGCATACCAGACGACTCCTGAATAAACTGGGGCTCCGACACGGATATTTGCCTGATGTCTGGTCTGAATACCATCTAAATACAGCCCATTTTGAGCCAGTCGGGAGTATTCCGGTTCTCCTATCATACACTTAGGCATACCAGACGACTCCTGAATAAACTGGGGCTCCGACACGGATATTTGCCAAATGTCTGGTCTAAATACCACCTAACCAAAGCCCATTGTGAGCCAGTCGGGACTATTCCCGTATTCTTATCATACACTGAGGCATACCAGACGACTCCTGAATAAACTTGGGCTCCGACACTGATATTTGCCTGATGTTTGGTCTGAATACCATTTAAACGCAGCCCATTTTGAGCCATTCAGGACTATTCCAGTATTCTTATCATACACTGAGGCATACCAGACGACTCCTGAATAAACTGGGGCTCCGACACCGATATTTGCCTGATGTCTGGTCTGAATACCATCTAAACACAGCCCATCACCGCACTGGATCCACAAGTGCTACCACCCCATACCCTATTTTTCCAAATCAGCTTCGGAGACTCCACCATGGAAAATGGAGCCACATTCCACCCCAGTGCGAACCAATGATAGGAACAAGAAAAAATTGTAAGTTTAATAATTACTATTTATTAAACCAAATAGTTTTGACATTCTTATTTGCATAACTTTGCAAAAAATTGTAATTGTGGCATTTACACTTCTCTGATCGAGACCTTGACTAACATTTGTCAGGTTAAATTGCTAACAATGTTGTTCTGTGATAAGGTGTTTCACCTTTAGAGGGTTGGTTCAAATCACACAAGGGATTCACTCCACCCTCTACCAGCAAAGTACTAGTATCTGTACTATACTGGGAAAGTGAATTCCCAAATGTAACATCCCTTAGAAATGATCTGAATATTTATTAAGTTAATTTCATTCTTAAAATGTGTGCCATCTCTTCCTTGTCCTTTGCTGCTGTATTTTCTGCTTGTTCATCATTTTTTTCTCAGCTGAACATAAGAGCATTCGTGCTTGGAAATCTGTAGAAATGACTGAATGGTCTCCGTTTCTGAAATATAACAAAGTTTTCAAAATTATGCTAAAACATCAAGGTACAGTGAGTATCATCACTCAGCTTCTAGTCCTATAGTCTTTACCCAACTCCCCAACTTAAGGTTTTATTAGGACAAGTAAACATTTGCCATTTTAAGATTTAGCTAATTTGTTATCATTATGAGGACTTGTGGCCTAAATATACTATTCACGCTTTGCTATGAATTAAATCATTGATTCAACAGAAAACTATAATGTGGGATCAAATTTGGTTTAAATATCTAAGCTTATTGTAAGCATGGATCCTAGGTTTCAGTATGTCATTTCATCTTGTGGATCCCATACCTGCTATTGACAGGTGTTGTTTGTTTGTAAATGACTCGTTCCATGATTTGCAAAATGGTTGATTGGTGCCATTAAAACCATTTTTATGGTTACTCATGTATCAAGTGCATAAGGTTAGACTAAAGTAGCTGTTTGCCTAAAGAAGGGTTACTATAGTATTATTTATCCAGTTTTAAATGTATACAATTTCAAATTATAAATCTATGTGTAAGTATAGTTGGGAATTTTATGTGATCCTTAGCAAAGTGTGAGTAGTATATGTTAGTTTCTAATCAATGCAATATACAATATAACAATCTATAGTCATTAAATTAAGTTTGCTATAACGTAGAATAGAAATAGTTCTATAAAGATGAAGCCTTGAGTATTCAGGAAACTTTAATCTGGTAACATGGCTGAAAATTGAATGGGAGTGACTGCCACTGTCTATGAGTGAAATGAGGGTCAGCACTAGTAGTGAGTGAGTTTAGTTTTTAGCTATGACAAGCGAATGCTTAAACCACTAGGCTACCCCTCCGCCCATCAACCCTAGTAGTAGTAAGCGCTTCATTAAGCAGATACAGACTGAATACCACAGAGAAAGGGAAAGGTGGGAGGATGTCCAGATAGATACTGGTTAACTTTATTGCTTAGTGTTTATCAAACAAGTGAAATAATGATGAAACAAAACATTGACGATATTAATATGCAGCAACATACACATGTTTTGGTATATACACAGAGAAATTATTACGGCAATGATAAAATAATCAAAGCAACAAGAAAGTAATTGAACAAAAGAGACATTTTAATTAAAACAACATTTTGATTGACAAAAATGGCAGCATTAGTTTTTTGTATAACAAAGGTCCGAACTGAAAATATGTAAAAAAAAGGAACGTATCTGATTCGCTTAACTTCTAAACCAAACTTCATAAAATTCTGCATACAATTGGCTGAGAGATTTTTCTCCAAATCTCCTACATGTCATGCACGATGCAATTGGAACCAGTTGATGACATATGTCAGCAGTATGTCAGCCAAGTTCTAGCACTGCTAAAGGCTAAGGGTTAGTTATCTAGTTAGAAAAAAGACATGGTATGTTTTCAGATTTAAGAGTTTTGTTGTGTATTTGATAAACAGAAATTACATTTAGAGCACATAAGTTCAGCTTGAGGTTTGAAATGTAAACAATTTTGGCATTGACTACTCAATGAAACCCACAAATCTAGAAAACATACAGTATGTACTGACACTGTAGAATACAAACATGATCTGTCATTTCTGTAATTTTTATCTATCTAGGTGACACATATCATTTGAAGTGTTGAATCATAACTGACATCAGTCAATACAGACTGCAAGGAAGAAATCTTAACCCTTTAGTATGTATGATTTAATACTACAGCTGAGTGCACAGTGTGACAACCAAACCCAACTTACCCATATGATATACCTAGATTACAAACTGATCAGTGAAACAGCCTCTTTAGGGATACACAGTTTGATTACATTCGACTGTAGTCAAGTGAACTACAGAGAGTTTGGTATATACACTACATATGATGTGTAACCCAATGGTGTACTGATAATACATATGATGTGTTGCCCACAGGTCTACTGATTGTATGATGTGTTGCCCTAAGGTCTACTGGTAACATAAATGATGTGTTGACCACAAGTCTACTGGTGATATATAAGATGCGTTGCCCTTAGGTCTACTAGGGACATATAAGATGTGTTGACCACAGGTCTACTGACTGTAAGATGTGTTGCCCTTAGGTCTACTGGTGATATATTTCATGTGTTGCCCACAGGTCTACTGGGGACATATAAGATGCGTTGCCCACAGGTCTACTGGGGACATATAACATGTGTTGACCACAGGTCTACTGATTGTATGATGTTTTGCCCTAAGGTCTACTGGTGATATATATCATGTGTTGCCTAAGGTCTACTGGTAATATATATATGATGTGTTGCCCTAGGGTCTATGGGTGATATATAAGATGCATTGCCCTAAGGTCTACTGGTGATATATAGGATGTGTTGCCATAAGGTCTACTGGTGATACATAAGATGTGTTGCCCTAAGGTCTACTGGTGATATATATGATGTGTTGCCCTAAGGTCTACTGGCAATATAAGATGTGTTGACCACAGGTCTAATGATTGTATGATGTGTTGCCCTAAGGTCTACTGGTGATATATATGATGTGTTCACCACAGGTCTACTGGTGATATATATGATGTGTTGCCCTAAGGTCTACTGGTGATATATATGATGTGTTGCCCTAAGGTCTACTGGTGATATATATGATGTGTTGCCCTAAGGTCTACTGGTGATATATAAGATGTGTTGCCCTAAGGTCTACTGGTGATAAATAAGATGCGTTGCCCTAAGGTCTACTGGTGATATATAAGATGTGTTGCCCTAAGGTCTACTGGTGATATATAAGATGTGTTGCCCTAAGGTCTACTGGTGATATATAAGATGTGTTGCCCTAAGGTCTACTGGTGATATATAAGATGCGTTGCCCTTAGGTCTACTGGGGACATATAAGATGTGTTGACCACAGGTCTACTGATTGTATGATGTCTTGCCCTAATGTCTACTGGTGATATATATCATGTGTTGCCTAAGGTCTGCTGGTAATATATATTATGTGTTGCCCTCAGGTCTATGGGTGATATATAAGATACATTGCCCTAAGGTCTACTGGTGATATATAAGATGTTTTGCCCTAAGGTCTACTGGTGATATATAAGATGTGTTGCCCACAGGTCTACTGGGGATATATAACATGTGTTGACCACAGTTCTACTGATTGTATGATGTGTTGCCCTAAGGTCTACTGGTGATATATATCATGTGTTGCCTAAGGTCTACTGGGGACATATAACATGTATTGACCACAGGTAAACTGATTGTATGATGTGTTGCCCTAAGGTCTACTGGTGATATATAGATGTGTTGACCACAGGTCTACTGGTGATATATAAGATGTGTTGCCCTAAGGTCTACTGGTGATATATAAGATGTGTTGCCCTAAGGTCTACTGGTGATATATAAGATGTGTTGCCCTAAGGTCTACTGGTAATATATATGATGTGTTGCCCTAAGGTCTACTGGTGGTATATAAGATGTGTTGCCCTAAGGTCTACTGGTGATATATAAGATGTGTTGCCCTAAGGTCTACTGGTGATATATATGATGTGTTGCCCTAAGGTCTACTGGTGATATATAAGATGTGTTGCCCTAAGGTCTACTGGTTGTATATAAGATGATGTGTTGCCCAAAGGTCTACTGGTGATATATATGATGTGTTGCCCTAAGGTCTACTGGTGATATATAAGATGTTTGCCCTAAGGTCTACTGGTGATATATATGATGTGTTTGCCCTAAGGTCTACTGGTGATATATAAGATGTGTTGCCCTAAGGTCTAATGGTGATATATAAGATGTGTTGCCCTAAGGTCTACTGGTGATATATAAGATGTGTTGCCCTAAGGTCTACTGGTGATATATAAGATGTGTTGCCCTAAGGTCTACTGGTGATATATAAGATGTGTTGCCCTAAGTCCTACTGGTGATATATAAGATGTGTTGCCCTAAGGTCTACTGGTGATATATAAGATGTGTTGCCCTTAGGTCTACTGGGGACATATAAGATGTGTTGACCACAGGTCTACTGATTGTATGATGTCTTGCCCTAATGTCTACTGGTGATATATATCATGTGTTGCCTAAGGTCTGCTGGTAATATATATTATGTGTTGCCCTCAGGTCTATGGGTGATATATAAGATACATTGCCCTAAGGTCTACTGGTGATATATAAGATGTTTTGCCCTAAGGTCTACTGGTGATATATAAGATGTGTTGCCCACAGGTCTACTGGGGATATATAACATGTGTTGACCACAGTTCTACTGATTGTATGATGTCTTGCCCTAAGGTCTACTGGTGATATATATCATGTGTTGCCTAAGGTCTACTGGGGACATATAACATGTATTGACCACAGGTAAACTGATTGTATGATGTGTTGCCCTAAGGTCTACTGGTGATATATAAGATGTGTTGTCTTAAGGTCTACTGGTGATATATATAAGATGTGTTGCCCTAAGGTCTACTGGTGATATATAAGATGTGTTGCCCTAAGGTCTACTGGTGATATATAAGATGTGTTGCCCTAAGGTCTCCTGGTAATATATATGATGTGTTGCCCTAAGGTCTACTGGTGGTATATAAGATGTGTTGCCATAAGGTCTACTGGTGATATATAAGATGTGTTGCTCTAAGGTCTACTGGTGATATATATGATGTGTTGCCCTAAGGTCTACTGGTGATATATATGATGTGTTGGCCAAGGTCTACTGATTGTATGATGTGTTGCCCAAAGGTCTACTGGTGATATATATGATGTATTGCCCTAAGGTCTACTGGTGATATATGTGTTGCCAACGGGTCTACTGGTAAAATATATGATGTGTTGCCCTAAGGTCTACTGGTAATACATAAGATGTGTTGCCCAAAGGTCTAATGGTGATATATAAGATGTGTTGCCCTAAGGTCTACTGGTGATATATAAGATGTGTTGCCCTAAGGTCTACTGGTAATATATATGATGTGTTGCCCTAAGGTCTACTGGTGGTATATAAGATGTGTTGCCATAAGGTCTACTGGTGATATATAAGATGTGTTGCTCTAAGGTCTACTGGTGATATATATGATGTGTTGCCCTAAGGTCTACTGGTGATATATAAGATGTGTTGGCCTAAGGTCTACTGATTGTATGATGTGTTGCCCAAAGGTCTACTGGTGATATATATGATGTATTGCCCTAAGGTCTACTGGTGATATATATGATGTGTTGCCCTAAGGTCTACTGGTAATATATAAGATGTGTTGCCCTAAGGTCTACTGGTGATATATAAGATGTGTTGCCCTAAGGTCTACTGGTGATATATAAGATGTGTTGCCCTAAGGTCTACTGGTGATATATATGATGTGTTGCCCTAAGGTCTACTGGTAATATATATGATGTGTTGCCCTAAGGTCTACTGGTCTACTGATTCGTGCCCATCTATGGTGATATATAAGATGTGTTGCCCTAAGGTCTACTGGTGATATATAAGATGTGTTGCCCTAAGGTCTACTGGTGATATATAGGATGTTGCCCTAAGGTATGTAATTGCCCTAAGGTCTACTGGTAATACATATGATGTGTTGCCCTAAGGTCTACTGGTAATACATAAGATGTGTTGCCCTAAGGTCTACTGGTGATATATAAGATGTGTTGCCCTAAGGTCTACTGGTAATATATATGATGTGCTGCCCCAAGGTTTACTGGGGATATATAAGATGTGTTGCCCAAAGGTCTACTGGTGACATATATGATGTGTTGACTTAAGGTCTACTGGTGATATATAGGATGTGTTGCCCTAAGGTCTACTGGTGATATATATCATGTGTTGCCTAAGGTCTACTGGGGACATATAACATGTATTGACCACGGGTAAACTGATTGTATGATGTGTTGCCCTAAGGTCTACTGGTGATATATATCATGTGTTGCCTAAGGTCTACTAGTAATATATATGATGTGTTGCCCTAAGGTCTACTGGTGATATATAAGATGTGTTGTCTTAAGGTCTACTGGTGATATATAAGATGTGTTGCCCTAAGGTCTACTGGTGATATATAAGATGTGTTGCCCTAAGGTCTACTGGTGATATATAAGATGTGTTGCCCTAAGGTCTCCTGGTAATATATATGATGTGTTGCCCTAAGGTCTACTGGTGGTATATAAGATGTGTTGCCATAAGGTCTACTGGTGATATATAAGATGTGTTGCTCTAAGGTCTACTGGTGATATATATGATGTGTTGCCCTAAGGTCTACTGGTGATATATAAGATGTGTTGGCCAAAGGTCTACTGATTGTATGATGTGTTGCCCTAAGGTCTACTGGTGATATATATGATGTATTGCCCTAAGGTCTACTGGTGATATATGTGTTGCCAACGGGTCTACTGGTAATATATATGATGTGTTGCCCTAAGGTCTACTGGTAATACATAAGATGTGTTGCCCAAAGGTCTAATGGTGATATATAAGATGTGTTGCCCTAAGGTCTACTGGTGATATATAAGATGTGTTGCCCTAAGGTCTACTGGTAATATATATGATGTGTTGCCCTAAGGTCTACTGGTGGTATATAAGATGTGTTGCCATAAGGTCTACTGGTGATATATAAGATGTGTTGCTCTAAGGTCTACTGGTGATATATATGATGTGTTGCCCTAAGGTCTACTGGTGATATATAAGATGTGTTGGCCAAAGGTCTACTGACTGTATGATGTGTTGCCCAAAGGTCTACTGGTGATATATATGATGTATTGCCCTAAGGTCTACTGGTGATATATGTGTTGCCCTAAGGTCTACTGGTGATATATATGATGTGTTGCCCTAAGGTCTACTGGTAATACATAAGATGTGTTGCCCTAAGGTCTACTGGTGATATATAAGATGTGTTGCCCTAAGGTCTACTGGTGATATATAAGATGTGTTGCCCTAAGGTCTACTGGTAATATATATGATGATGTGTTGCCCTAAGGTCTACTGGTGATATATATGATGTGTTGACTTAAGGTCTACTGGTGATATATAAGATGTGTTGCCCTAAGGTCTACTGGTGATATATAAGATGTGTTGCCCTAAGGTCTACTGGTGATATATAAGATGTGTTGACCAAAAGTCTACTGGTGATATATAAGATGTGTTGCACACAGGTCTACTGTTGATATATATGATGTGTTGCCCTAAGGTCTACTGATTATATGATGTGTTGCCCACAGGTCTATTGAAAATATATGATGTGTTGCCCAAAGGTCAGCTGATAACAGATATGATGTGTTGCCCAAAGGTCCTCTGATAAGGTCTGATGTGAATATATATGTGTTGCCCAATGGTCTGTAAAAATAACAGATTGGATGTGTTGGCCAAAGGTGCGTAAAAAAATAATAGATGGGATGTGTTGCCCAATGGGCTGTGATTATAACAGATATGATGTGTTACCCAACATTCTGCTGAATATTAATACATATATATATATAGAAGTTGCCCGATGGTCAACAAGATACATCCTATTCATCATCAACACAGACCTTTAGACCACACATCCTAGTTGCATACAATGGAATTTAGCTTGATTGATTTACTAATGACCTGCCAGGGATATCATAAAGCAGTCGAGATAAACACATTCTTGACTTTGTATCATGATATATGTTATTGGTGTTCACTATCTTGATATCTAGAAAGACACTACTAAAAACTGGTGGTACCTTTTGACTTCAAGTCATCTGCTGATGAACAGTATATCCACCTTTACATGTCAGTACTTTCTCACAGATACTACATCTGAATCCTGAAAAGATAAACAAATAAAATGTATCTGCTATCATGGAATAGAGGTGTCTTCAGTTCTCATTTGCTGAATTTCCTGTGTATGAAGGACACCAAAACATTAATGCAAATGTATCAACAATTACATGAATCATTTGATAACAACCCATTTAAACACCTGATACAATTATGTAAAACAAATTTAATTGAGAACCCACCCATCCCCACCCCCAACCGACCCAAGTGATATGAACATAATGGTGTCAGAACTTTAATACACCTGATTATCCGATGGAAGATTGAAAGTTTGACAACAGACAAACAACAAAATGTAGGGAATATGTTAATTTGTATACTCTGTATTGAAAAATGCCAATCCTTTCTGAATTGTGTGCACTACGAAACACGACACGCATCAGCTCTCTATAAAACTGTGGTAAGATATGAATACATAGTAACCTAAAAGTGAAAATGATATCTCTATTATAAAAGATATGATTATTGCAGGGATAAATTTTTGAATTGCAAATGTTTGGACATCAATCAAGTGCAAAAGTCAATAGAAAAGCTTCAAAATGTTGAAAATTACCCTATTGATATTTGAAAAGAGCAAATTATGCCAATTTTCAAAATTTCTACATTTTCTGTAAAGATTTCCATGATCAGAACCACAATACTTGTCTGGAACTGCTTGTTATGAGAGTATATACAGTTTTTCTTTAAATTTTTCATATATGTCATCAGAGACAGACTATCTGTATATAAGGCTATTCCATGTCTATTAATTAATCTCTTATTGGCCATTTTGAATTGCTTGATACTTTTATGAATAGTAAAAGATCCTGTATTGAGATAATACCTAAAACATGTATTGCTGCACTTTCGGTACTGATCGGCACACAACCATTCAAGATAACTGTACTAATATTGAGAAGGATTAAACAAATTGCAAAGATTCATGAGGCATTACTTCATCGGGTATTGCAAGTTTGTGGTGCTGAATTCTAAAGGTAGGCCAGAACAATGTTTAGGTTAGGAATGCCACGATACATCGATACTTTTTCTAAGATGATACAATCATTGATGCATTCAAAACTCTATCGATATTTAGTTTTGAAAGTATTGATTTAAACATGTTTTAATATGTATCGTTCACATTTTGCAATTGTATCATGTTTTTTATGTTATGAGAGTTATAAATGATTATTTTTCATACACAAAGATGGGAAATTAGAACTTTTTAATCTCTGAGAATAGAAAACGTGGATCTTTTCAAGGACGCTTATAAAATATAAAATATTTAATGTTCAAAATGTAACTAATATTACACAATAATGCAGCGAAAATAGGTATCATGATACATATCGAATCATGTCATGAGTATCGTGATACGTATCGATTCATGAAACTTATGTATCGCGACATCCCTAGTTAAGGTAGAAATAAATTTAACAAAGCTGTAAAATTGGTATTCACAACTTAAATCTAGTAACATGAAGGTATTGATCTCTGGATCACATAACCTACCACTTCCTCACTTTGGAATGCCTGAGACTCCCCTCAGTTCTGCAATTTGAAGATCACATTTCTCCTCTGCCAAGCTCAACGTGTCTTGGTCCCGTTCATAGTTGTCTGTATTATGTAACATTAAAATGTTAACAATATTATTCTCAAAATGATTATGAACTTAAATTCAAAACTGAGCTTAGGAAATAATATTTTTTCTTCTGAACTGATAAAGTATTTAAAATTCTACATGATTTAGTTATCACCCTAACAACATACATACATTATGAATTTACAATGTTTCATATTCAGAAACCATTGTAAAATAAAATTAACTTACCAGGCATAAACTGGATTGGATAGGATTTCCATGTCTAACAGGACCATCCGAGACTAGCAATTAGTCTCTGAATATATATAATTTTGATAGAATCAAAATAATCCTTTTAAACTGAAAAGGAGCTCCAGTGAGATGGGAGATTCCTGAAACTAAGTAAATCTAGACTTGCTTAAATTAGGTCTTTATCATTGCAGAAAGGCATAGACGGAAGTAAAAATAATGCAGTTCAGGAACTATGAGACAGGCTAGATCTTTCCTGACTTTTTACAGTCTATGTCAACTTTGATCTTGAGTTGAAGGGTGACCAAAGGAAAAAACTTGTGCCATCAAGTCAATTTGATTGGAATTAAAGAATACCCATAATATCATAGTTTCACTTTACTCACACAATATACAAAGTTATGTCTTTATTCATGGGTTGCTTCTAAGTCATGTTCAGGATTTTGTTAGTCATCCATGCATAAAGGTAAAAACTCACAAGTAATACAAAATGTTGATTTCTTTCAGGTTTATTTTTAATTTACTATTCATAATAATAATCATCGATTCTATGATTTATATCAATACTGTCTGCCCAGTGCTGTTCAGAGATGTTGGTGTTAGTCGACAATGCAAACTATTAGCCGATGATGGACCAATGATGAATAGCACACTACCTAAAATAGATGCATCAAAGAGGCATTTCTGAAACTGTTATTATGGCTTTGTAAAGGTTACTTACAACAGGAAGAGGCTTTAATTCTTACAATTTGTACTGAAAGAAATGTTAAACTTCACCTCCATTTTTAAAAAGAGAAATAGTTTGTTTAAGAAACACCCGCTTTGAACAAAATTACCCTTTTATGTAATTTGACTGCTAAGGGAACTTAAAACCATAAAAGACTAATAACATATCCCTGCATAGGAACAGTTGGTCTATTGACCAACCAATAGAGTTATAACATGTCTTAATGTGTTTAGTGAGATCCATCCTTGATTTTTCAGTTAATCTTATCCTGTCCACTGGTATTTACCCTCTTTCCTATGTTACACAATGTACAGGATTTAGACTTTGAAATGAGGAAATGTCCCTGCATTAAGCATACAAAGATAAGAGTAGCTGCCATGGAATTATGAAAGCTCAAAAAGGGAATTCTGACTGTATTCATGCACAATATTGAATTAACAGATTCAAGTGCACCAGTGAAGTGGAAAATCTCTAGCATTTGAAACTATATCAAGTTTGGACCAAGTGCAGAAAAATACAACGTAACCAACATTTATGGTTGTCAGTTGAGTAACCTGTGAGTGGGAGGATGTATTGCTCATAATTATGCTGGCTGAGTGGCAGTGGCATGTGGACAGACATGGTTATAGTCCTGGGCCAAATGCAAGAAAAGTTTTTATCTTTTAGGATCTCTCAGCATCAGTAAATGTGTTTTCTGGTAATTAGAAATTCTTGTCATAATCAGCCACAAAATGTATCAGGTTACTAAAAACAAACAAAGTTTGACCCAGACAGCCTTTACTTGTAGGTAATAAGGTGGTAGGCTACAATCTTTGTACTCATATGGAGATAATTATTATTATTAGCATGAAAATGGTGCAACATATACATTTCATCACTATACACTGATATTTTCACTCTGATAGACCAGTGGAGGAGATAGACTGCACATAAACACCCAAAGGAGCAGGGTTCAAAGCAGGAGTACAAAAAAGCTATATTTGAAAGTTAGAAACTCTTGATATCAATAATGTAACTGAAACACATTATGGTCAAGAGAGCAAATGCATATTTCCTTTGCATGAACAATTTAGGAAATGTGTAGCTGATATAAAAAATGTGTAGTTCAGCTATCAGAGGAAACAGCAAAGAGCAACAATGGAGAGTGCCATTATGAAACTATAACTACAAGTCTTCCTCAACACTGCACTATCAGCTCATTATTTGAGCAAACCCATGTCAATGAGTATTACCCCATGGTCAGAATATGCAGTGTGGGTGATAAAACCGATTGTAATGTGTTATGCTATGTCTACATTTGGCCTATAAGTAATTTTACTGAAATCAAGTCTTACAGATTTGGTTAGTTCCTGAAATTAGTAATGGTTATTGACTGTTTTGGTGGTTTATTTATCTATTAGTTGGTAGATATATATTTAAAATAAGAAAACAATATATCAGTGCAAAAAGTCAGTCTGATACCCTGAATATCAGGCGTCAGAATGAGAGATGTTTTGGGGTTTTTGCCGCACCGAACTGCACCTAAAAGTAAAAGGTCAATTTCACCCACTGAGTGAACATAAAATCATACAGCTGTGATTAGCTCTTTCGGTTGTGGATCTACAGTAGTTGGCCATAAGTGAGTCATCAATAGTGAAATTCACATAGATTTTCATGTTAATTAACTCTTGCAAGAATAATTTTCATACATTTAGTTTGGGTGGAATTGCTTTCAGCACTTATCTACCAGCTTTGTACACATAATTTCCTTTCAATTTTCCGAGGATTATTAAGAAGACTGCAACTTCTTAAACAAAATATATTAGACATACCAATCAGGTTTAACATGTCTATGGGATAGATAAAAATAAAGTTGTATTTATGGTGCTTAATCAGGTGTCATTCGATAACTAATCAATGAAAAGATGAAAGAAAATTATGTACACGTAGCTGAAGATGATTTCCAAGATGTTTGCAAACTTCTACTCAATTTATGAAAATTATTCTTGCAACAGTTAATTAACATGTAAGTCTATGGAAATTTCACTAATGATGACTCACTTATAGCCAACTACTGTACCCTGTAGTCTGTGTCACAGTCCCCCTGAACCACAATATTATTTTCCCTACTGCCTTGCCCTTTCTGCAATGCTAAAGGCCCTAAATGAAGCAAGTCTAGATTTTCTCAAGTTCTGTTTTTTACCCGGGGCTCCTTTTCAATTTATAATGCGTTTGTTTGTTGATATAAAAAAAATCATATTCAGACACTAAGCGATAGTCTAACCCTAGGTGAGGATCAAGAAACAACATGATACGAAACGTCACAATTGCGATCAAGTTACTAGCAAACAGTTTCTTCCAGTTGAGAAATCTTGAAATAGATTGTGTCATGGGACAGGCATCGCCTTTGAAACAATTGTACATGCTGCTGTTTTCAACAAAATACTCCGATTACGATACATACCATGCATTTCCCAATGCTTTGTGCTGCCAAGTCACCTCGTGTAGTGCGCGAAAACTGTAGCAAAGGGGATCCGATTTGACACAAAACGTGAACGGGCCTTCGTGTGAAACATGAATTCAATTTATTTACAGATTATTACATTGTTATTTTGATCGAAGAATGAAATGTTTTAAGTATTTAAACGTGTTCTTGGTGGCATATTAGTCTTGTCTGTCAGCTCCCACAATATCTACAGACATTATTGAATTATTAGCTAAGTGTTCATTTCGACGTTGCCGCTTTTGAACTTTCACGTTTTTGACGCACAGGAGCGTGAAGGCAAATCGCCGAAAGGTACTGCGAGCGAAACAGTGATGTTATGCTGAACACTTGACGATGTGTATATTTGAAAAAACTGTACAAAACCTAAGAGTATATATTTAGACAATAATTTCTCCATTGTTTATTTCTGAACATATATCCATGTGTTAGAGAATTTTATAGAAAACCACGTGTCGCCGAAAGGTCGCAGACGTTATATATATGATATTTTTGTTTTTTCAATAACAGCACTGAAATTTTATAAAAATACAAAAGAAGCACACCCGAAGGTCCTGAGACGACCCTCTATCCAACCATCTAGTTTGGAATAGTTATTAAGGAAAATGAACATAGTTGTGACATGCAGATATTTAGGCGACAGAAATATATCCTTAGGGCGACAGCTGTCGCCTAAAGGTCGCACAAATGTCGCCCAAAGGTCGACTTTGTCTATATATATATATATATATATATATATATAAATGCCCGGCTAATGACATACAAAATGACAGAGCCGAACATTGAAACGACTTCGACACCTGCGGAGGGGAGTGTACCTCAACAAGTGATTGATAACGTCAAGATTAAACCCCAAAATCTGAAAAAAGTAGCTGATAGTAAAAAAAAGGGGGGGGGGGGGAGCTAAACATCATAATAAATCGATTCCTACCCCACTGTGGATCCCGTAGGCAGTGGCAGTCACTTTCGTGGGTATCACCCCAGGTGTATGGTTATATCAACAAAACAAAAAGACATCACCACCGGTGATGGTCCAACCCTTAACAAAACAATTACAGGTAAACCCGCATGTTATGTTATAATCATGTCTACCGCCGACGGAAAAACATTTGTCAACGACGCGTATCACGCAGCCGTGATCAGTGGACTGGCCATCGGCTACGCCTGATTGCGCAAAATGATCACCAAACAACCAGCACCCAAGCTCGATTTCATCCTGCAAGACATGGTCATGCTCGTGTTCAACTTTGGACTGGCGATGGCCACCAAAGATATGCTTATTAAGCAAGGGATTATTCCGGAAAACATATTAAAGTAAGAAAGTATAAAATACATATAAAATGGCTACGATTGCCTTGATGGTCGGTGGGGTATTAATCAACGCCCTGGTTTTTTCGGGGAGCAATTACTTTTTTTCTCACATACGAACGTCGAACGCAGCCGAGATTGAAGCCACCGCACAAGCCTACTATGCAAAAAAACATATGCCGAGAATCGAT